CAATCACCGGTGGATATAGCCGAAGCACTTCATTAAGTATCATAGTTACCTGCAAAAAGAAAAGAATCTCACTAATTCATGCGATGGCTGAACCAGGATTCTCTCAGGGGTTCAAAATATGAAAAATGTAAACATACGAAGAAGTCAAAAAGGATTCAACATCTACTGTATATACATAAAAAATAATTTTAACCATGTATAAACGAAGAAGCAAAACTGAATTTGTTTCGAAAGATGAACACTCACAATTTTGAGGCGACTTATTTCTTCAGCATCAGGATTCTTCTCCCTGACAACTTGTAGAACTTCTTCCCTTGCCTTTTCTTGCCAATCCTGATGAATAGCCAACACAATGAGAGTCCATGTCAACAAGCTCGATGTTGTTTCATGACCGGCAAGGTAAAACTGTTTGCATTCTTCTATTATGTCCTCCTTTGTCATCTGACTATTATTTACTGAATTATTCTCATTGTTAAATTGCAACAGCAGGCAAAGCAAGTCATCTCCCCTTGTTTCCCCTGTTCTGATCATGTTCTCTTTTGTGTCCACAATTGTTTTAAGCATTGAAGTGATCCTTCTATCCAAGTCCTTTCTTCTTCGATTCTTTTTCGTTGGAACAAATCTGTGTATCATGTTTTCACTTTTCAGAACAGAAGAAGAAGCATTTGATGTTAAGAAAGTGACATGCTATAATTGTAAGGGAGTTTACCTAAAGCCAGGAATATATAACATTCCCATAGCCTCAATCACAAGTTGTTGTAGTTCTTTTTGTAGTTCTAGGATTTTCTTTCCATCTTCGAAGCTACTTCCAAATGCTGTTCTTGAAATGATATCACCGGTAAGTTGTTGAAATTCAGGCCATATATCTATTTCTGAAGTCTCCTCAGGGCTAATTGTTTTCATCCACTTCTCTATCGTAAACGTGCAACTTTCTGCAATTGTTGGGATCATTCCCTGTAAACACATACAAAAATGAGTACGATATGTCCTATGATGACTGATTACATCAATTCATTATGTATGGATGATGAGATTCCGTTGATACAAAGCCAATTCCAATAGACTTATTGGAGAGTGGTACTTCTTCTCCCCAAGTTATAGGGTTATTTTGCCAAGTTCCTTAGAGAGAGTCGTCTCACCACCTAGGTAATCTCTAGCAAAAGGCTCATTGTACTTTTGAAATTATGATTTCAGAATCTACTTTATTGAAATTTTGTTACTAATTTATTGAAATTCGTGTTGAGTGAGTTGAATGTTACACTAAAAGCCACAAAAAAGAGCATGGTTGAAGTTGAAAAAAGTAACCTTCAATTTGTCCAAGTGGAAAGCAGGATTCATTATCTTTCTGTGCATAGCCCATTTTTCACCTTGTAGAGTTGTCAATCCTTTAGTAAGAATCAGCACAAGAGGGTTCAATGGTGGTAAATGAAATTGGCCTTGCTTGTTTAAGAGCACTTCTTTTATCAGTGTTGGATCCATGATGATCAATCTTGGAGACGTCCCAAGCCAACTCAGAGATATCTTCCCTGCAACCAAATTCATTTTAGCTCATACTTAGAGTAGTTAAAAAGAATTATTCAAGCGAATCAACATTGAGTTTCAAATTACACCGGTGGAGTTTCACCTACTCATACTTGAGCTCGTTGTCCTAGAATATTCATAAAGTTCAAATTATGGATATACCTTCGTGAGACCATAGTGGTAAAACTATATCAACTTACCATATTTTTGGACCATATAATGAGTGAAGGGATCAACACGCGACACAATATCGTGGGTTAAGCTAATTGGTTTGGACCATGCCTCATCCATTTGATTGCCAACATTTTTGAGGTCTCCAAGCAACAACTTGTAATGAGTTCCTTTGAATCCTTGCCGCTTCAAGCGCTTTTCCAGCAATTTTGGTTTTATGAAGATGGAGTAGGAAATTTTGACAAGAAAATAGCTTAATATAAGCAAGGGAAACAGTACTAACAGAGAAAGGAATACTACTAGATTTGTCATCAGTAATGAAAAACTGGACTACTTTTAAGTTTGAATTCTGAGATAACCACCATAGGAGGTTGGTCACTATATATATCCATTCCCAACATTTGGCCTTTCAAATTTAGTCAAACCTACTTGTTGGCAAAGATAAAATGTTGACAAAGGATAAACTAATCTTGGAGAATAAGGCAACAATTGTATATGTTTTTTGTCTAGACTAAGAACTAATTAGTATATAATATGTTTGATTAAAGACTAGGACCAAACAAGTTAATTTCAACAAAGGTGCAATAAAATAAAACAAAAAATATGGATGGGCGACTAGGAACCAATATGATATATTAGTTGTTCCGTGTTCGTGAGATTTACTTTGATGTAGCAAATATTAGATTAGTATTAAAATATAATTGTTGGTGCTGATTAATTAGAATACAAATTCAAACTTCCAGTGTCTCAAGATAAATTACTTCAAAACTTGTTATTTCTTTATTTTTGGATAATTATTGGTGAATATATAGTTGCTTTCGTGGAGAGCAAGATAGATCGATTCTGTTTTGCCTTCTCGTTGTGTTTGGGCTGGGCTCTCAACCACATGGATAGTTCAATGTGCTCATCGGCGTCTGACCCATTAGCATGACATACTGAATATGCTTTTTTTCCCCATAGCCAACTATTAGTAACATTTGGTGCCGGTGCCAATTATGATGGTCGTAGTCAGTTTAGCCCCATAAACCCAGTCCACTTGCAGCCATGTTGATCAAAACGACTAAGTTTAATGACTTGACTAGTTACTAGCCCTTATATTATAAGATTCTCTCACCATGTGGTCGACATTCCATTCCTCAGGTGCTCGATCCCATCCCTAATAATCACATGCATTTACATAGTTCCCAATTGCAATAACATAACATTAATTCATTTAACAATGAACAATATTAGTATACGACTATACACTGGCTTCATAGGCATAGTCCTTTAAGGTTGTTGGTATTGGCAAAAATAGGACAACTGTAAAGTCATTTTCAAGTGCCCATTTGCTATTTCTCTATCTCCTCCTGAATTGAACCATCAGCAAGTTCTACAGCCAAAGTTCACCTGAGCATCTGCATCGAAGTTCGCCATTGGACTCGTATGAGGGGAAAAAGAATGTGAATTCTAAGCTCAATAACTTGTCCTTTGATGTTTTGGATACTATCTATATTCTATAACGTACCCTGTTATGAGAATTATCACATAAATGTCTATGCTACGAAGACACATTTTCCTCATTTTGACAATGGATATTTCATTACTGATGCAGGTGAACAGTAATAACAACTGCCTTGCAGGAGGAGTACTTTCAGTTAGAAAAGTGGGGTATACTACTACACTTAGCTGTCCAGGCAATTATTAGCCGCTACATTGCAAAAGAAGTAAATGAACTATTTCATGCTTGATGCATGTCCATTTATTCAATAATTCAAATTAGTTGAACATTACTATCAACAGTGTTGGAGCATCCTTTTCTACTCCTGATTACTATACCGGGCTCTGTTTTTAGAACAACCAAGTAGAGTTTGTACACGCAATTGTCATGTTATAGAAGCAGTTGAGCATCCATCAACATCAGCCAAATCTTTCAATGGAAACAATAAATACCCTTGTCACCACTTAAAAGATGCTGTACTTCAATTATATATCCCAATCGAAAGAGACAGTATGTGGAAAAACATTAGATCAGCTAGCAGGAAGTGTAGAAGAGGGGGTGCCGGGGGGGGGGGGATAGTGGCGTAAACTGAAAGTGGAATTATGGTAGACAAAGAGCAGAAAGGAACAGCAAGATGGAAATAAGTCTGAGGTGCATTTTTTTGCCACTGTAAACAGTGTGGATAACTTTTTGGATTTTGTTAGTTCTCTATCTCTAGTACAGTAGAGTAGTAGGGCCCCTTTTGACTGTTCTCAAGTTTTTGCCACGCTAGCTCCATATATTTCTGTTTGGAGCAGCTTTCTTGCACAATGTTCTTTGTGACTTTGCATCTTCTTGATGCTTTCTCATATCATTTAATTACTTTACCAAAAAAAAAAAAAAGAAGTCTGAGGTGCCTAAATAAAATTAAAACTAGAAGAAGTAAAATGGTCCTTCTCACTTGTGATATGCTATATAGAAAAAATACAGTTTTCAACCGATACTTAAGTTCCTAAATAGTGTTATCAAGTCCTAAGATAGTGAGCAGTTAATTCGAATACAAAATGAGGAGAACTGACACTTCTTACCTAAGTAGTCAAAAGTATTGCCTGAATAAAGTATTGCTGGAGAAATAGCAGGGGCACTTTCTTACTTGCATTCCTGTGCTATTTTCCACATAGAAATCAAATCAAGTAATATATTGTTGGACGAGAATTATAGAGATGTGGTTTCTGATTTTGGCTTCCAAGATTCGTTCTTCTTGAGAGAATCACTTAACAACAGAAGTTGGAGGCACATACTGTTACTTGGACAGCGAATACTTTTGATCTAGTCAACTTAATGATAAAAGTGATGTTTTTGCATTCGGTGTGGTTCTTCTGGGACTTCTTACAACTCAGTTGTATGCATCTAGTAGTCAAAAGAACAACAATACGTTTCAAATCAATGTATAATGAAGTCGTCTACTAGAAATGGTAGATCCTGAGATTGCAAGAGGCGTTTAAGGTCAGGAGATGATCCACATTGTTTTGAATGTCATTTTTACAGGTTAAACTTTCTATCTTTCACCTATTATTTTATCACTTCCTTCCGAGGGTTATAGCCTGCGTAATCAAACAACTTTTGTGAGAACAACCATACAAATCTGGTTCATTTTGTCCTGGAAACGACTACCTGCTAAAACATCACTATTGCAGTGTATACAGCAGTCACCTTCATGTATGGCAACCGAAGCTAAATAGTAACGAGAAAGTTCATACTAGATTGGATGACAAGCATGAGAAAATGCTATATTGAAAAGGAAACATTTGGAAAAGTTCAAAATACAAAAACAGTACATCCCAATTACGACGGATAACTGAATTTATTTAGCATGTTTAAACGCAAATCATCAGTACATGGGGCAATTAACTCTAGAAAGAGGCAAGAATAACCTCAACTGCTGATCATAAGCCTTCTCAAAGGCTAGCTGATTGAGTAGGAAGAACAGCATAATCCACGACAACAACACCATCCAAAAAATCCTTAACCTTCTCTTTCTGCTCATTTGCCAGCTCTGTTTGTGACTCCAAAGCTTCCAATTCATCCACTCCCTTGAAAACCGCAATTGAAGCAATCGAAAAACCTTTCGCCCTACCCGGAGAAAAATTCTCCCCAACAGTCAACTGTTCAATCCCGGGGAATTTCTCTTTGATTCCCCCAACCGCACTCAAAACTTGTGATTTTTCATTTTCCCCCAAATTCTCCTTCAATTTAAGAAACGTAAGCCTCATCGCCGAACCAGGCGGCACACCAGTCGGACCGGAGAATTCAATCGGAACCCAATCAACGGCCATGATGTCATCAACCATCGGCAAGACGTATTGCTTAACAACACTTACATGGTCAGGGTGTGCAGAGTAATCAGCCAAGTCGGACTTAGAGTTGTACCGAGAATGAAGTAGGTGCGTGAACGAAAAAGAGGAAGATCTGTCACGTATAAGGGGACCAGAACTGAGATGAACGACTTGATTGAGAGAAGTCAAGCTGTTGAGGTTGTTAACCATGGCGGCAAGCTTTGAAGGGTCAGCATCAGGTTTGGCTTTGAAGAGCACCACATGTTCGACGATTTGCTCAGCAGACATTTTGATTGAACGATATGAACAATAGGGGTTGAGATGGCGAAGAGTGACGGCGGTAGGAGGGAATGCGCGAGGGGATAAGAAGTGAGAGCAAGCTACTGCTGTTCCTGACGTTTTGACACCCAGCATCATTATTTTTCTACTGTGTTGTAGATTTTGACCAACAAGTTTGGATCCTTCGATTGCTGCTTGCTCTACTTGGGTCGTCAGTCTCAATGATGATCAATTGTCATTTATATTTGTTATCTTTACTACTTATTCCACGTTAGATATAATTTTTTTTTCTTTCAAAAGGCTAATTAATATGAATAAAGGGTAAAATAATAAAGTTTAATTTATTAATGATTTCTTAGTTATTGTGCAAAATAGAAAGTGCTCATCAAATATGAAATAAAAATAATATTTTTTATTTGAAGTAGGAGTCCTTTGGTATCTAGTAAGATTTAAGAAGATATTAGTAATATACTCCCTCAATTCAAGAAAATGTCATAAATTGTCACCCCCCCCCCCCCCCCCCCACCTTAGCTATGAGTTGGTTTAAATGGACGTCTCCAACCCATAACATCAAATTTTATATTAGAATGGTCTCAACTCTATTTTAGTGTAGACCAACTCCAATCTATTACATTAAATTTTACACAAAAAAAAAGAAGAAGAAGATTTTTTTTTTAAAAAAAAAATTAAATTCCTACTAAAACTTGATTATTTTTATATAGTATTATTATTGAATATTATTTTTTCTCATCTTAAAGTTGACGTATATTTCATCGAGGATTTCACTGTTATTTGTCTTATCCGTCATTATATATAATGTATGTATAATATTAGCTAGCAATTGTATATTATTTAAAAAATAAATAATTTATATTGAATGGCTATAAGAAAAGAATATGAATTATTATAGAGTTAATATGTGAAAATAGAAGAAAACATTTGTTTCATGAAACAAGAAAATATAAAGTAAAAGTTATATATAATGAAAATAATAATATAATATTCAAAAAGTGATTTGGTGTAGGGTTGAAGCTCTAAAACGTCAAATTTTACACCAAAATAATATTTGGTGTAAAATTTGGTGTTGGATTGGAGATGGTCTTAACTATATGCTTACTAGATTTAGTGCTTTAACTATACAAAAAAATATTCAAGTTATTAGCAACAATTATATATTTCATTTTATTCTCCATTGAATAAAATTAAGAGTTATCTCTTCTTCCTCATTAATTTTATTTTGAATCGTTGAGGTTATTGTTCTTTTCATAAGAGTAATTTGAAAAAAATATAACAGGAATAGAGAAACAACTAAAAAAATGGCTTAAAGATTTAATTTCACAAAGAGTTTTGTGAATATAAACCTAAGTTATTTATATAAGAATAGACAAAAACCAAACCTGATAAGTTTTTGAATACTTAAAGGACTAAAATCGGTAAGCATATAGTTAAGAGACTAAGACCAGTAAATGTATAGTTAAGGGACCAAACCTGATAAGATTTTAAATAGTTAAATGACTAAATCTGGTAAGTGTATAATTAAGAGACCATTGTAAGTCCAACTCCTATAGTTAAGAGACTATTTATGACATTTTCTCCCTTCTATTCTATATTAAGTGATTCTTTTAAGCAACCACACCTATTAAGAAAATAAGTTTAGGACATAAATTGAACATGACCTTCCACTTTTAACACACCTATAACACTATTAATATTATTATACTAGTTTACGAACATGTACATTGCACGTGTATCCCATGCTAAATAATGTAAATACTTTCAAAGTTTAAGAATTTGAACTAAATTTTTTAGCCCAAATGAAAATACAATTTTTTTTTTATAGAAAGTTAAATTAAAGAAATCCAATAGAGATAAAACACACACACACAAAAAATATATAGAAGAAAAAATATTCAAAATAGTAATAAAATTAAACTAAGATGAAAGAATAGAGAATCGAATTCACTGAACTCTACTTATAGCAAACAAATGATAGTGTGAACATGTGCTTATTGTGCCTTATCATAAAAGCCACAATTCATCAGAAAAGTCACAACCATTCGAAAAAGCCACTACCCTTCAATGGAAAATGTCTACTTTAAATAATATTTATATGTATATAAATATAAAATATTGAAGATATACTAAATTGAGTGTTTTTAGCTAGAGGTATTATAATAATTTAATATTTAAGTTAGGTTAGGATTTTTAGTTGGTGGTATTATACTAATTAGACATTCAAGTTACCCGAGACTTTGAATTAGGGGTGACAATAAGGTTTGAAAATTAAATAGTAACTACTCAAGTTATTTTAATTCAATGTAGGTGCCAATTATATAATTAAGAATTAAGAATTTGTAAGGGATGTGTGAGAGACTGAGAGTTGCTCTCAAGTTTTTAAGTTAACAATTTAGTACATTGTATTAAAAAAATTAAAAAGGTAAAAGACTAAATCCTAATTTAATTAAAAAGGTAGGGAACCCAAAAGGGGAAATATATAAGAAAAAACCTGCCAGTTTTGCAGCTTCCGATTTCGCTTCTTCGTTTCTTCTTCTTGTTCGTTCCTCTAGTTCTCCTATTCTTTTTCCATAGAGCTTTTAGGAGCTAATACAAAGAAGAGAACATAGTCATGATTCAAAGGAACACGTCTGGAATGAAGCACAAAAAGAAAAAGGACCAGGCGACCCTGGCTCACTGCTAGCGTGGGGTGCCAGGCCCTTAACTACTGACCAAAGTTTGGGACGTGCTGCTGGTGTGGGGCACCAACCCCAAACTACTCGACAGAATTCCTGGCGTCTTGGTGGCGCGCCGCCCCATTCCCTTACCCAGAAATCTGATGATTTTTATACTCAATTTAGGGTCCTAACTCGTTTAGAATGGGGGAAATTCTCCTAAACTCTTCTCGATTCTAAAAAACAACACGAATACATGAGGAATTCAACACAATCCCTTTGGAAAACACGGCTTTTACCAAAGATCAACAACATGAAAGAATTCACAACCTCCATTGTTCAAAGAATTGAACAAAAATCAATAACTCTTTGAATACAACAATTTCATGGATAAATTCGGATGCATGGAGTGAGGAAGAGCAAGTCCAACACTATGAGAAGCCTTGCATACAGGGGTGGAGCTACCCTTGCCCGAGGGGTGTCAAGCGACACCCCTTCATCGGAAAATTACGTTGTATAGGTAAGTCAAATTCTGATTTTATACCTATATATATTAGAATTGACACTCCTGAACCAAGTTGAGGTGTTGGTTCAGCGGTTCAAGGGCTACAAAGTTCCGCCTTGTCATTGACCTAGGCGTTGGGAGTTCGAACCTTGCTGAAGTCTATTTTTTTTTAAAGGCTTTCAACGTTTTTTTTTAAACTTTTTAGACAACTGTAACTTTTTCGTCTTTAGTTTTTAGACAACTAAACGTTTTTTTCCTCCATTTTTTAAACCATTGACTTAAATTAAGTTTACTTTAATATTTTATTTTTTTAAAAGAAATAAAATACACTTTAGAAAAAGATGTATTTATTAATATTTCTAATGATACTATTGTAAAAACATTTCAAGAGATGAAATTGCGTCGAGTACGGTTGTAATAATGTAATTATGTTTTGCTTTTATTGGTAAAATTTATTTTGTTGAATTTTTTGTGTGCATACTACTTTATATTTTGACACCCCTCAATCTAAATCCTGGCTCCGCCACTGCTTGCATACCGGGAAAAAACAATGCTCTTGGCGAAATCCACAAATCTTGAAGAACGCTTGAAACCATGCCCTTTTCTCCTCCTAAAACCTCACTCTAATTTTCTAAGTGTTTAGGAACGTGAAAAAGTGGTGTTAATTTGATTAGACCCTTATTTGGGGAGAGCAAAACGTGGTTAAGCCTAGTTAAAAAAGGAAAGACCAAACTACCCTTCTAAAAACGAATGGGATGCCTTTAGTAGAGAGGCTTCACTCAAACGGCCATAACTCTTTACCCAAGCTTGAAATTTAACAAACTTGGCGGCGTTGGAAAAATGACTCAAAGATCTTCAATTTGATAGGTCATGGGACACCTAAATCTTTATGTGCTAAAATATATGGTTGTTTGAAGTTGACCCAAAACTAAAAACGGATGGTGACTTGCACAAATTTCTCTTTAGTTCCTTTTGAAATCTGAGGTGTTACACCACTCCATTGAAGAAAATCCCAGTTATGAATGGGTTTTGATCTCACATTAAAAAATGGTGGTTCTAAGTCCTCAAACAATCAGATTTTGCACCAAAACAGTTTTGTGCAGGTTGAGTTTTATAGAAGTAACATTGTAGTTGAATGTACTTAATTCAACGTGTCGTGAGATGAGAATATTGGACAACAAGAGAGGATACATGGTACAAATGAATTATCTGCTGAATTTGGGAGTACTTTAGGCAAATCCCATCATGTTACTGGTGTACTTTAGCACACAAAGTTCTGCCAGTTTGACAAAGGTGTTAACAATTTGAGTCTTGTTACTCGAGACTTAAATAAGAATAGTGAGCATGTTAATAAACAATCTGTTTTGACACATGAAAAGGAGTTCATTGTTACAATGGAGATAGCTGGTAAATAAATCACTCCAAATACACCAACATGGTTGTTTCAAATTAAGAGGAGGCTAAAAAGATCTAAATGTTTCTAAAGAAAAATAAGGGGGTGCTTCTAAATGGGAAGACTTAGTTGAGGAAGAGGAAAATCTTACTTCACCTCCTCTGAGTAAGTTAAGCCCTCACACACCCAAATTTGTGCCTACAAGAAAGACAAATCCATCTCATGATCCAGAAGTTATAATTTAAGGACTTAGTCCAACTATAGCTTATGATATAGACTTGGGAAATGATGGGGATGATATGTTGGACATATGCTTTGCTAAGGTAGCCAAGGAAGGAGATCTCTCACCTAGGCAACAAAGAAGTTGAAGCAACAAAATAAAAAAGAAGAGAAATGGAAGGCAACATAGTTGGGATGGTAATGTGATCGAGGAATTTGTTCCAAAGTACCTATCAATGCGACTAGCAAAGCAAAATCATATGACAATGTCAACAAGTTTAACAAGATCTAATAAATCCAAGAAAAAATGATGAACTATAAAGTGTTGTTGGACAAATTGAAGAAGACAAAA